AGGATTCCTTTAATGATCATAATCTAACACTTGATTTGGGTGCATTTAACCACAAGATGTCGCTATTCCTTCATGTTATAATTCCTCTGTTGATTTCAAAAATGTTCCAGACTTTGTTAAGGCAAGTATCAAGTTTTAGGGCTCTACTTTACAACACACACAGGGACCATTGGGGAAAAAAAGTAGCCACCCTCCAGAAGGAAGTGTCAGCATGAATTAATTCTTCTTTCTACTGACCACTAATGTAAAGGATAATGTTTTCTTCCTACTACTGACCACCAACGTAAGGGAGCATTCTTCTTCCTGATGACCACCAACGTAAGGGAACATTCTTTCTTCTACTGACCACCAATGTAAGGAAACATTCTTTCTTCTACTGACCACCAATGTAAGGGAACATTCTTTCTCCTACTGATCACCAATATAAGGGAACATTCTTTCTCCTACTGACCACCAATATAGGGGAATATTCTTTCTTCTACTGTCCACCAATGTGAAGGTGCCCATACACTGCTCGATTCTCGTACGAGAATCGGGCGAAATCCCGCGATCGTACGAGAATCGAGCAGTGTGAACTAAGACGTGCGACCGTTTCTACTGTACGGTCGCACGTCTTTTGTCGAGCCAACATGCTTGAAAACCAGCCGAGAATCGTACGATAGCTGCAGAACGGGCCGGTGTGCGCACGCGCACACTGCCCGTTCTGCATTGCCGTCATCGAAAGCCCGCCCCTCAGCGGGGCGGGCTTCCGATGATCGCAAGTACGATCTGCCCGTCCAAGGTGGGCAGATCGTACGGGCTTTTAATGAGCATACGACCATCGCAAGACAAAAGTCTTGCGATGGTCGTAAGGTGTATGGGCACCTTTACGGAACATTATTTTTCCTACTAACCACCAACATAAGGGAGCATTCTTCTTCCTACTGACCACCAATGTAAGGGAACTTGCTTCTTCCTTTGGACCACCAACGTAAGAGAGCAGTCTGCTTCCTACGGACCACCAACGTAAGGGAGCATTCTGCTTCCTACTGACCACTAATGTAAGGGAATATTCTCTCTTCTACTGACCACTAATGTAAGGGAGCATTATTCTTCCTATTGACCAACAATGTAAGGGAGCATTCTTTCTTCTGCCCACCACCAAAGTAAAGGAGAATTATTCCAGTGGCGTAGTGGTTAGCGCTTCTGCCTTGCAGCACTGGGGGTCCCCAGTTCATATCCCAGCCAGGGTCACTATCTGCAAGGAGTTTGTATGTTCTTGCGTGGGTTTCCTCTGGGTACTCCGGTTTCCTCCCACACTCCAAAGACATGCTGGTAGGTTAATTGGCTCCTCTCTAAGTTGGCCCTCTATGTAATCATGTGAGATAGGGACTGTAAGCTCCATGAGGGTAGGGACTGATATGAATGGGCAACTAAATGCTGCGTAAATTGTCAGCGCTATATAAATACCTGAAATAAATAAAAATTCCTTCTACTAAATACCAATGTAAGGGGGCATTCTTCCTCACACTATCAATGCAAGTTAACTTTATTTGTCTTACTGGCCATCGGTGTTAGGAGGCATTTAAAAAAAATTGCTATAGTAAAAAATATATGCTGTAGCGCAGGGCCTGTGTCACATGACTGTTATAATAATTGTTTTGTTCAATGGTGTTTTTTTTTTGTGGCAAGGGGGCCCTATATAAAGTTTGCTATGAGACCCTGGGAGTTCTAGTTACGCTCCTGTACATGGCTAAAATAAAGATCCTTACCTTTCTGAAAAAGCTTTGTGAACTGAGCCTTATGTATGTAAACTTTCTTTAGTAATTGCTCATATAGGCAAATGTGATAACAGTTCTTTTTATTATATAACCTTATATGAGCTAGGATATTCAAATATAACCAGCCAAGGTTAGGAAGATATGCAAAGAAGGTCATGTGTTTGTGTTTTAAAAAGAATAATGCTTTTAGCCTTTTCAGAGGAGGCTGTCATAATAAAAAGAGTACCTCATTATCTGGACAAATTCATGAATAAATAATGTGAGATACGTCTGCCGTCTAATCATTTGCCCAACTAACAATAGCTGAATAGGACAAGATATGTTACAGAGGGCAGACATTTGTTGAAAGATGTTGGGAACACAGACCGGTGTATTCTTTCCTTACAAGTCATCAGGTATAGCAGGTGGATTTCAGAGCCTTTGACACACCTATGATGTTATATGAACATGGACAGAGCACGCAGACATATACAGGACCAACGACACCTACATGAAAGCAAAAAATACAGCTTAATTTTCTTAAAGGAGATTGCAGAAAATGACATCTCTGGATAAATGGAGAAGGTAAGTAACATTTCAAGCAAAGCATCAAAGACATGATGACAGAAGATAAAATGGCCAATTACAGTGTGCAAACTATGCATACTCCATACATGGTTCGCCAGGCAACTAGGTTATATACACTTCATGCAGCAAAGCTTTTCAGGTACCTAAACTGCATTCATTATATAAAATGTACATCTAACTACTCCAACAATATTAACTTATTACATTCATTAGCAAAACAACCTCTTGCTGTGATAATGTTTGAGGATGAATACACTAAGGTGAATCAGTTTGCCTGTTATTGTTGCTTTACCTTATGCACATCCTCATACCTCAGTATGATTATTTCATTAACATATAAGTCTTATAGTCTGTATAGAAGGAATTAACCCTATCCCCTAGAGCAGTGGTTCTCAACCCGTGTAACCTCAGGACCCAGATTTGTCCTTGGTCATTAAGTTGCGACCCAAGTTGCACTGCAATGGAACGCAGTACATTAGGCATGTTTTGGTGCGGGCATAGGAACTGTGGGTGGGAGATGCGTTTGGGGTACCATACAAATGAATAGTCACCCTGGTCCAGGCACCTCTATAGAACACGTGAGGGAGCTGTAAGCAATGCACGTATGGATGGAGCTCCCTCACGGCCATAGCCCCATCCAATCCCACCTCAAGCTGAAACTCAGCGCCGGGTAGCATATTTTGAATGGCTGCTTGGTACGAGAACTGACAGTGCTGCACTAGAGGGAGGCAGAGTAGCCTCTCGCCTAAAAAAGTGGAAGGCATGAGGCGACCCACTGAACAGGGGGTCGCAACCCACTTTTGGGTCGCGACCCACCAGTTGAGAACCAAGGCCCTAGAGGCATTTTAATGCTGAGGTGCTTATTTTTTTAAGGCTTTTTTTAAAATAGAAAATTATCTTTGCTGGGATGGCTCTACATCAAAAAGGAACTTCATTTTGTCTTATTGGTACACCTTCCACACGTTTGGTAGCTGATGACTACATCAGGTATGGTGCATTGATACTATCGATGGAACATATTTCATTTAATAATAATTAGATATACAAAAATTTGTTAATGCATGCACAGAATGTTGGCAGACTGCTAATGTTACAAATACATCTTTGGTAATTACATTATGTTACAAGTGCTAAAATTCAATCTCTAAATGACTTTGTTTGATTCTGTTAAAAAAATTACTGAGTCCATATTTTAATGAATAAAATATTAAATGGGCTCTGTTTATGTATAAACCTGACTGAATAAAAAAGTTACACCAAGGCATAGGAATAAAGCCTCGATCCTCCTATAGCAGGGGAAAGAGAGCCGGGTGCTCACCGGCAGGACTGTGTCCTCACTCCAACCAAACAGAACTATAGTAAAGGAAGAATCTGACCGCACTCCATTCCTTTACTTAATAAAAGAGTTCTTTAAATGAATAGGAATAAAAATCATAAATTAAAATAGACATTAAATAAGGTTGGATACAAGTGTACAGTAAAACCATCTATAAAGGTAAGTATCTGAAAAAACTGTCCATTCAGACACCAAGAAATTATTTTATTATACAGGATGTATATATAGCACCAACAGTTTACAAAATAAAGTGGACAGACAGTTACAATACAATGCAAGACAAGAGGGTCAGAAAGGCCCTGCTCATGAGAGCTTACAACCGAGCTTACAAGGGAGGGGCAAGTGATATATAGTTAGTAAGTATGGGGGAATAAGTTGATGAAGGTAAAAGTTCAGTTGGAAAGTAAAGGCAGGAAAGGCTTCACTAAAGAAAAGAGTTTTCAGAGATCACAAAGGCAGACAGAGTAGGAGATGGCCTGAGAAATTGGGGTAGGAAGATCAAAAGGATGGAAGAGGCTCTGGAGAAGTCCTGGAGATGAATATGGGAGGAGGTGATTAGGGAGCTAGAGATCATGAGGTCTTTGGAGGATAGAAGAGGACGGATGATATTTTGAGATAAGGCTTGTAATGTACCCGGGGGGCAGATTTGTGGATAACTTTATATGTTCTTGTTAATATTTAGAATTGTATTTGTTGGGCAAGCAGTAGCCAGTGGAGGGATTGGCAGAGAGGGGCAGTGGACACTGAGCGGTAGGTAAGGTGGATGAGTCTGCCAGCTGCATTCATGATAGAATGAAGGGGGGATAGTCTGTGCAGAGGAAGGCAAATGAGGAGGGACCTGCAATAGTCAAAGTGAGAACAAAACAAGGGAGTGAATAAGTATTTTTGTGGTTTCATTGGCTTTATATCAGAAGCATCTGTAAAGTTATCCATAATTTAATTAAATAATTATCAATTTGTGTGTGTTTTAACAAGCAATGTACTGGTCTAGTAGAAATGAATATGTAATATATTAGTGCATAAAGCAATACATAAGTAAAAATGCAACCAAGTCATACATGGATGTAAGTGCAAATATAAATGATAGTGTTAATACAGAAGGATTCTAAAATATGAGGTGCAGAAAGAAATATAATTGCCGAGGAAAAACCATTAAAACCAGAACAATAAATCACAGCTGCACTAATCAGGAGACTTTAGGCAGTGACAGCGAGTGACACTCCCGAACATGCGCAGTAGAGATAAGAAGCTCCGTCTCCATGGAGAGTGACCTTGGAACGCACACTACCCGGAAATGAGACGAGGCTGTGGAACGCATACCAGATGTAAACAAAACGTCTCTAGGCGACCGATCTCATCACTGCTCGGAGCTCAGAAGGAAGGTGAAAACTCTCTATTTTACATACATTCACTGACACTACTGACCATTATTTCATGTTAACTATTTGTTATGCATATTAAGTATGTAAACTATATGTGGCATTACAGGTGATTGTTTTATGATCAGTCATTGCAATGATACTGTGTATAACTCAGTAATTTGTATTTGACCAGTACATTACCTAATTTAAAAAAACACAAAATAATAATTATTCAAACGGGCATAAATTCTAATTGTTTCAGATATCATTTATGACTGGCTAGACTAGTTTTTCAGATTGTCTCTCTGCAGATATATACACTATATACTTAATTTTATGCACCCCTATGTATTAATGTATTATCCATTTAATATTTATGGGTTTTATTCTTATTTATAAAAACAACTCTTATACACAAATCAGGTTTAAACATACATGGCGAGTCATAGTATATGTAATTTTTACTAAATAAATGAAAGAAACCATTTAGAGAATGAATTTTAGTGGCCATAACATAATGTAACTACCAAAGAGGTATATGTAACCTTAGCAGTCTGCCATCGTTCAGTGTATGTAACGACAAATGATTGTATATCTCATTTTAAATAAGTTGAAATGTTCCGTTTATATTATCAATGCATCAGACCCGGTGCCATACCTATAATGAGGTATGCTGAGGCTGTTGCTTCGGGGGGCATCTCTTTGGGTCACGTGGTGGGGCAGCAGGAAGAGAGTCATGACTGCTCTGCTGCCCAGGTTTGCAGTGTGCCTGCCACGGGGAGACATGTAAGGGTCATACACATCTCCCCACCCAGCTCCTAGCAACCTGGAATGCTCTGGCTGGCATCCCGCCCAGCTCCTGGCAACCAGTAATGTTACTGGTTGCCAGGAGCTGGGCAGCATGCTGCCAGAGCTGGGTGGGGAGATGAAGAAGATCACAATAAAGTCAGTTTCCCTTGTCAGTTGCCATGTGTGTACATTAGAAGGCTGGATGGCTGCCATGATTCTTGAGCAGCAGGAGCTGGTGGGAAGAGGTTACAGAGTATATCTGCGCAAAATAATAAACACATATTCAGTATATTTCTGTAATACATGAAAATTTCTCTGTGTTTAATCACTTTACAAGTGCTGCAAGTACAAAAAAATACTTGTAGATCATGTCAGAAGTCCAGTGAGCTTATAAGTTCATGTACACTCTGCCTCTGCTCTACTGAAATCCTAAGCAGTGTTATCAGCCCTGCCCTGATTACCTGTGAACTACAGAATGCTTCCTCCTATGTTATGGAGATAAGGAGAGGGGGAGGTGTGCTGTAGCCCTAACACACTTACAATCCTAGGGTGACAACGCTGCTTCTCAATAGATAGATACAATACAGTGAGTGAAAGTTGTCATCCCAGGACAGGAAGTGTGTTACTGGCTGGATTTTCAGGTGAAAGTAAAGAAAAAATTAGCCTGGAAAAAGAAAACTGATTCAGCCACGACATAGAAAGACTGGTACACTGCAATATATTACATTTGTGTTCTGGGGTTTGGATAAACTTTAACTGCTTCCTGTGCCACCTGCAGGATCATCAGAACTGTGGCCATGGGAAAGAAGACTGAGAAGCTACTGAAAGAGAAGGCACTGAAAGAGAGCGAGAATGACCCCCAGAGTGCAGGTAGTACAGGGAACCCTTTAAATATTCATCTACGATTCGAATGTTAGTTTGCTGAATTAGGATATTTTCCAGTATTTGAGCACAATCAAAAACCAGCTTCTACCTTCAGTTTTTTTTTAGTTAAAGGAGAACTATGGGGTTAAGGCTTTTCCCCATAGTTCTCCTTGGGGTAACGGGAGGACACAAACTAGCGTCCTCCCGTCACCCTCAGCTGTGGCTCGCGGTATACTGAGATGGCGCAGCTGAAGCGGATCCCGACAATTATGTCTGGATCCGCACAGCTGTGTGAGTGACAGCTGGCTCTGTCTATCTAGAGGCAGAGCCAGCTGTACCCACACCTCCCCTTTCCGTTCCGCCAGTCAGCGCTGCTTTTCACTCACCTCATAGTTCTAGCCAACCTGTGACAATGACACTGTCACAGGTTGGCTCAGTAGATCGGGAAGTGAGCGAACACATACCGGCGTTCGCTCACTTCTCGATCCTGTCACAGCTCTCTGCCGTGACAGGGGAGGGGCTGGATTCCCCCCTCTCCGCTCTGATCCGCCAGTGCTGACTGGCAGAACGGACGGGGGAGGGGGCGGGTACAGCTGGCTCTGCCTCTAGATAGGCAGAGCCAGCGGTCACTCACGCAGCTGGGCGGATCCAGACATAATTGTCGGGATCCGCTTCAGCTGCGGCGTCTCAGTATACCGCTAACAGTAGCTTGTGGTATACTGTGGCGTCTCAGTATATCGTGAGGTGTAGCTCGCGGTATACTGAGCTTAGCGTTACCCTAAGGAGAACTATGGGGAAAAGCCTTAACCCCATAGTTCTCCTTTAATACTTAAACAGTGGCATAACTATAGCCATTGCAGCCTAGGTGGCTGCTATGGGGCCTGGGGGTGCAAGGGAGCCCTTTAGGTTATTGAGACAAATTAAACATAGAACATGTGAAGATAATCCAGTACTGTATCATTGAGGCTTGGAATTAAAGTCTACAGTGAAGAGATGACATCAGATGCACAAGAGGAGTCTTTAGGATCTTGGCATCATTACTCAAAACTCAGAGACAGGTCATCGGTAGGCCCCATCACATTTTTGCTATGGTCACTGTGGACTGTGGTTACGGCTAAGGATGCACCGATACCGATACTAGTATAGGTATGGGTGAAAATACCGAGTATTTGGCCAAGTACTCATATTCGCCTAAATGTTTTCCGATACTTACCCCCCAAACATGGAGCCGGTTTCCGACCATTTAGGAAGCCGGCTTGCGGGTAATGACTCGAGGCCCGGCTTCCTGATTGGCCGGGAAGCCGGCTTCCTGACCAATCAGCATTGAGCCGGCGAAACAGCAAGGAGACCGCTTCCTGGCCAATCAGGAAGCCGGGCAGCGGGTAATGTCCTGCCTCCTGGCTTCCTGATTGGCCTGGAAGCTGGCTCCATGCTAATTGGATGGGCCTGGCACACAATCCCCCTCCCCCAGCCCAATCAGTTGCAGCGAAGACATTCATTGCCGAGGGGGGCGTGTCAATGACAGTTGTGCAGGCTTGGGAGAACTTGGTTCATACTAAGCCCCTGCACACCACTAGCTGCCAGATATCAGTGCTAACACAGGTTTTTCGGCCTCTGTGTTATCGAATTAACCAGGGGCATTGCTAGACCCTGGCATTTGGGTCATTGGCCAAAATCAATACAAACCATATCCACACACATCACAGTATGTTGCGTTTGGCAGGCGTTGCCGCTTCATCGCAGTGAATGGGACTGGTAAATCCCCACTGGGATACAAAAACTATATACCAATATTAAGTATTTTCTAATGTGTTTTTCTTATGTATTTTTTGTTGAAGGTGTTGGTCCCCAGGACAAAACATTGCTGTCAGCTGGTAAGGACAATGTGCAGTTTCCACTGTTATACTTCTCTGTATTCTAATATTACTAGCCCATGGGTGTCCAATAATGATCAGAGGCATTTTAGGAATTGGGTGTAGTTTAACTGAAACCCCGCTGTAACTTTTTTAGGGGAGCTTCAGATTTATTCTGCATTTCAAAATAATACCTGCAGGGCCGGATTTACTCTCCCTGCCGCCCCAAGGCCAGGTTCCACAATACGCCCCCCGCGCCGCCAACCACCCCTCCCCATCAATTGTGAATGGCAACCAGATGGCAGGGCGGCGGGGTTAGTTTCAATTTTTTTTTTTTACTGTTTCTTTATTTTTATCACTTTTTATTTTTGTATTCAATTATTTCTTCTTATTTTTTAAATTTTTATTTATTTAATTATTTTTTAATCAATTTA